CAATATGGTATAATACATGTCACCTTTCCTATTTGTATTCAGTGAAAGTTTTTATATTTCAAGTAGTTAAGACTTCATTAAAGAAAACAAAAATATACATGAAAAATTAAAGTACCTTCCAGTTGTAGCTTGCTAATGTTTCTTCTGCAAAAGTATAATAGTAAACTAAATGAACTAAAGAGGACAGTGCCACTGCAAAGGCAGAACAGTTGCATGTTATTTAAGATTTGTGCTTACCTTATACTGATGGGTACATTTTAAGTGATAAATTTTCTTCACATCTGGCCTTTAAAATGGACATTTTCTTACAAACTTTACTTGTAAGAAACTGATTTTGTTAATTAGCAAATTTCTGGAGAGGTATCTGTTGACCTAAAATTCCTTAAATCCACAGAAAATTGTCTTTAAAAAATGTATTTCTACATGAGGTTTTAATGTTTTTTATTTAGTAAAAATTTAAGTTTTAAGTTAAAATCGTTCAATCTAAAGCATCCTTTTTTCAATAGTGGAGTAGATTGATGCAAAATATTTTTCCTTTTCTCTAAAAAACAAATTAAATGGTATTTGTACTCCAAGAATATACAAAAATGTACTTTATACTAGCCAATTTATATCAATCATAAAAGAAATGCGATGTTTGTTCTCTTCCTCTCCTTCAACCATTCAAGTCAAGGGAGAATACTGCAAACTTTATAAACTCTACTGACTCTAATCAGAATAACCACAGAACAAAGGTAGCATGGGGTGAAACTATCTCTCTACATTCCAGAAGGCAGAAGCTTGGATGCTCTAGCTTTACAAGTAAAAGTAGCACAGGCAGGCTGAAGCTCACAGTAAATGCACACCAGAGCAAGGGCCTATCTGATGAGGTCACTGCTTTTAGAGGAAATAATAAAAGTCAAATCTGAGAGTACAAAAGAAAAAACCTAGACTTTTGTTACATTTACAGGAATCTCAAACCTTTTGTATTCCCATGCTCACAGGTAGTTTTGATATACATGGTAAATAGCATCAATATTTAGGAAGAAGAGTATTGTAGACAAAGGACAAGAAAATTCTTCATGCTTCTGATATCTCAGATTTGCTGAGTGCAATAGCCAGTTCTAGGTCTTCTTGTTCTTGCTGATTCAGTCGGGCAAGCCTTTGTTCTTCCTCTCTCTCACTCTCCCTCTTGGCCCATTCAATCATATCTTCTTCAGAGGGATAAGCACTGAAGTTAGCAAAATTGCTTAGGTCACCCTCTTTATTGGTAGTGCAAGTAGAAGAAGAAGTGAATGGATCCCAATACATATCAGGATCTTTTTCTTTGGGGCTATTATTGCCTGGGAAAGGCTGAAATGGATCATTCACTTTAAAGGGATCAGAAGAATCCAATTTGTTGATGGGTCTTTTCCCAGGTGATGGTGGGCAGGGTCTTGTTGGAGTTCCCGTCTTAGGTGGCAGTGCTGGGGGTACATCTTCACTCTTGATGGATGTTTCATCAAACACATTTTTTGGAGTGACCACATTGTTGACAGAGCTTGATGTGGCTGAGTTAAAAGGATCTTCATTGTTCGCCTTTGACAATGTGCTGCAGTCAGCAAATCCATCTTCAAATGATTCATTTCCAAAAACAGAAGCAAAGGGGTCTGGGGCTGAATCACTTGCTGCAATAACAATTGTCCCACCAGGAGCAAAAGGATCATTGTGCTTCAATGTTTCTACTGATGTATTATTGCTCTGGCTGGATGCACTAAAAGCGTCATTACTTAAAGTGGCAAAAGGATCAGTAGAAGACTGCTTGAAGAAAGAGTCAGATGCAAATGGATCTGAACCTTTGAAAGGATCACCACCAAATGGATCAATTTTCCCAAAAGGATCATCCTTGAAAGGATCACTGCCAACAAAAGGATCAGATTGGAAAAAATCCGAGTTTGTATCTGCAACTGGACCTGTCAGTGAACTTGATTCTGATTTAAATGGATCTTCCTCTTTTGCATGTTTCTCATTGTCAAATTCAGGACAAACTTTTTCATTAACAGATGCAGTTACCACTTCATTTTCATCAATCACATCAGGTGATATTTCAGGACTACTTCTTGCAGGAGACTCCTGATGTATGGGATTGGACTCCAGGTTGTTCTAGCCTTCAACCTGTTCATTAAGGTTGGCTGTTTCACTGCTGCTCGTACTGAGGCTGCAATAATCTGTAGCACCATTTACAAGAATGCTGTGTGGACTACTGCACCAATTTGACTGATTATTATGATTTTCCAGCTCTTTCATTTCCATGAGTCTCATTTGCATTGAACTGATCTCCTGCTGTGAATCTTGTAGGTGCTGTTGAAGAGGTTCCAGCTGAGCCTTCCCTGACTCCACACTCTCCTCCAATTCTGCTGTTTCTTGTTGCAGGCGACTTAGCTCTTCTCTAGCTTTGGCCAATTCTTCTTCATAAGTGGAGATCTGTGATTCCTGATTAGTTATTTCTGCTTTTAGAGAAAAGATCAGCTGGGCCTCCTCAGCACATTTCTTTCTGACTTCCTTGAGTTGCTCCTCCAACTGAGCTTTCTGCTCATCCAGTTCATCAAGGATTTCCTGTACTTGCTACTTTTGAGCCTGTAGTTTTTGTAGATTAATATTTTCCCTTTGAACTTCATCTTGAAGATCCTGAACCTCACTTGTCCTCTGTTTAATAATATCTTCTTTCTCCTTAAGGTCCTGTTCCACATTATTCTTTTCCCTCTGCAGGTCAACTATTTCATTGTTAAGTGTATCTAGCTCCTTAATAGCAGAGAAATCTGCAACAGGACTTGATCCTATGAGGTTTTTTTGCAAACTGGTCCTGTCTGATGGTGGAATCATCTCAGGATTAAGAATGTGAGGAGGATCAATGCCCTTTACTAACTTTTGATTGATTAAGTAGAAAGCCAAGGCAAGGCAAACTGATCCTTTGAAAGTTTCCCACAGTTCTTTGTGTCACATAATGCCCAAATATGGGCCAGTAAGGTGGATGGTAAGCCTGTTTTCAGGAAAATTTCATGGGCCTCCAATCCTGATACAAATCCATCCATATCTATCAGTTTTCAGGAAGAGTTCATCATACTTAGCTTTTTCTGCAGGGGATACAACCCACGTTTTTCTCTTAGAAGGTGGCAACAAGGCTGGAAGCAAGGCCATTGGCACGGGTTCCTTCTCCAATACAGAGTATACCAAAAACATGGCAACTGCAAGCTCATCTCTGTCAAGCTTTCCATCATGGTCAATATCACTCAATTCCCAAACTCTTCCAAGGATTTCCACAGGTAACTTAGAGTTGAGCAACACTGGATTCACTTTATCACCAGACAAAAATCCATCCACTGGACTTAAACTATCAAAAATTACATCATATTTGGCTTTATCTTCACTTTTAAAAGCCCATGGAAGCTCAGCTGCAGGGGTTCCGCTGGTTAGTAAAGGACTAATGGTATCATGAAATCTTGGTAGAGGAACAGCCAAGTCAAGCTATTCAGTGAAACCTCCAATCCATTCTGGGCACATGCTACAAGATGCAAAGCCACAAAGAATTCTTGTTTGTTCAGGATGCCTTTGCATCTGTGTCAGCTAAATCCGAAATCTTTCCAAGTATCAAGTCTGGAAGCCCTGACTTTTTCAGAAAAGCAGCAGCATCTGAAGCCAGCACCCTTCCAGTATTGCCTGTATCAACCTGTCTATAGTATTTTTCTTATACAGGATTCCCACTTGATAACTGGGTCAGGGAGAGCTGGGCTGCCGCAGCCATGGTGTTTCCATCATGCACGTGAGGGGAAGGAGGGGAAGGAAGGAGGGGTCTCTTGTGGCTTTTAAAATTCTCTCCTTATTCTGTATGTTGGGCGTTTTCATTATAATGTGCATTGGTGTGGATGTGTTGTGATTTTGTACATTTGGCATTCTGTAGCCTTCTTGGATTCAGATTTCCAATTCATTCTTCATGTATGGAAATTTTTCTGATATTATTT